ACTTTTAGGGGACTATGCTTTTTATACTGCTGCTGGTATGAGGACAGACAGGGCAGCTTTGTATTGACCGTTCAGTGCTAGCAGGCTGTTTTTCAGTGAGCAATTAGAGGCTTGGGGTAAGTGCGGGCATGTGTTTTGGCAGGAGTTTATACCGAATTGAGCGCTTACTTGGTCCGTGTCTTGCTCGGTCACTCTTGAGTTTGTTCATAGTGAGGATGATGTTGTACAGCTGTGTGAAAGCTGTATGCTTCCCGTTGTTGTATAATCTTCAGTAAAACTGGAGTATTGCCTTTTCCCTGTAAACCGAGTGTTGTGATTCCCTTGGTATAAACCAGCAACTTCCATAAAGCGACTTACTCTGAGGTGCTTAGTGTTGTAGCTGCTCTCTTACAGGCCTGAAATTCTGGGCTGTTTTGCCTGCTGGAGTAGACAACAGCCACATCCGTATGTGGTGAAATTAGACATCCCATCTGTAACTGTGCGCTCAGTGGATTTCAAAGCCTTTACAAACACTGAGTTACTTTTTGTGCTGCTAAAAATACGGCAGTGGAAGCACAGTACTCAGGGATAGCACACTGTTGTGCAGGCACGCTCTCTTTGGAACTGCAGGGAAAGGGAGACAGAAAGTAATGACCCACACTAGAATTTTGTCAGGTACCAAGTGACTGCTCTGTGTTCTGAAAAAATATCTGGATTCGTACTGAAGTTGCATGCTCAGACTCTGACTTTAATATCAGTCATTCAAGGGTATCCCACTGTCCTTGCTACTAAGATGTAGCATTGGATTGGTGCTGATTCAGAAGGAAACCAGCTACCTGCTCTGAACCAATATGCACGCCTTCTGCTTGGATCTGCTCCATCCATACAAACACATAAATACTTGTATAGGCCAATAGAAGAGGTTTAAGGAGATGGTATGGCTGCAGGCTTATGAAAGAATTATTATTTTTTTAAATGGTTGAATGAATGATTTACTAATTTAACACAGCTATTACTTAAGCGACCAATATTGCTCTTTTGTTTACTTACTCAACTTTTTCCTTAATTTTTATATGCTTATTAAACAGTTTTCACATTTTTATAGGCAGCATTTATGAGATGAATGCAAGTTTTTTTTTTGTTCTTCCCCTGCCTTTCTAAGTTGAAATACTACATTGTCTTCATTGATAGGTTCTCATGTAAACTGGTAGTGTAAATCAGTATAAATGTAGAACATAGAGCATACCAGTAGGACTAGATATGATTGAGAAGAAGTGGTCCTGTGTGTTCAAATTTAGAGGGCTTTGGATATAAATGTCTGATTTGGAGATATTTCTCTTGCTATGCTTTCATAACAGGTTTGATCTATTTAATTTTGCAGATTGTCCTAGTTAACTGAAACAAAAAAAATTTTTAAGAATTTATGCCTTCTAAAATACTATGAACTTGTCTTTTATGGTATATATTTCAAAATCAGACTTGGTATGATCAGGGTAAGTGCATTCCATCGGTATATATAAATGATGTCACTAGTTTCATTTCTTACATGTTGGTGTTGCTTTTGTTGTTATTAAAAAAAAACCACCCTGCTAAGTCACTAAGGGAAGAGACTATTTTCAAGGGGTTTTTCTTCTCAATGGTAAAAGGATTATCTGACTTTTGGACTTTCAGATTTCTATTTGGCCTACAACTGAGGATAGAGAACGCATAGAGCATCTGTAAAATCAGTTCTCTGCCATACATGTAAAACAGTTTGGATGAATCCCCGAATGTTTTGATACCCATGATGAAATCAGTAAACTTGATTGGAAGACAAACATAGTGTGGAAGCCTGTTCCTTGTAAAACCCCTTGAAGCACACATTCCTAACTTCAATTAGCTGCATTTAAAAAATACACTTGCATTGATGTAAAAAGTCTATCTAATAAATACTGATCTGGCAAAGATATAATTGCAGGATAGAAGCTCATAGTTTGAGAGCTAGATTGAGAGCATAGTTTGTAAATATTATAGGTAGCACTAGCAAAAACAATAAATAAATCGGAAGTATCTTTCCAGGTGAGCAGAAATAGCTCTTTGACTGCTGATGGAGATAGGATTTCCACCTGCATTTCAGAAAATGGAGCATCATCAGTTCTGTTTTTCAGAACTTCTTCCTGACTGTGGTATTACAATCATTTATGTTCCTCACCTGCAAGTGCCACTGCTGTTTGTGACCCTGGTTTTTGCACTGTAAAATATCTGTGCTGGTTGAAAGGCTGTTTTAATGTAAGGACAACCGTTGCTATGGTTACACTGAAGACAGATTTGTTACTATTATTTTAATAGGAAATACTCCACCCCCAGACAGGATTAGTATTATAATACCTGTGAAATAATTTTTTTATGAGTATTATATGTATAATAATGATGAGACATTTTTATATTCCACAATATTGGCAAAATACGTTCATCATAAGTTAAGGCAGTTGTTTAGGGCAGTGGCTGCCATCTGGCTGTTAAACCATTGAATGTTACCACGTTAATTCATGAATTTTACCTAAACTCATCTAGTCTAACAATGAATATGCCCAATATATTTGCTTATGTAGAACGTTGGTAAGGCTGATTGTTCTGATGTTCCCTGTACAAGACAGCACTTATGCATGAATTTAAATCTTTGATGTAGAGTATCTGTGGAAATTAAATTGAGATTACTTGCTTGCATGTAAGTTTTCTGGAAACTATGGCCAAAGTTAGAAGACATAAGATTTTGATTGCCTTAACTTTATTCATGTAGGATAAAGTCTTGATAAACAAAATTATCTGTTTTAAAGATTATCAAGAAATACATTGGTTTATATAGCAGCCAAACTAAATTTGTATGTCTTACATCTTTTGGTCTAAATAAACTGAGCAACATACCAAGGTTATGTATGCTGAAAGTATGATTCAGTAACTTTTTAATCTGTGTTCGTCTGCTAGTGCTTGAAAATATAATAATGTATGAATATCTCTTCAGCTAGTGTAAATAAAGCTCTTGATTTTTAACAGTACTGTCTGCTATATCACTGAAAGATACTAACTCTACAGGAACTTCCAGCAACTTTACCTCAGACTCTGAAGCCTTTGATGTAGAACAAACAAAAAAACACAATGAAAACTATAAGTGCTGAAGAACACGAAAACAAACTTTCCCAACAGGAAACTAAATGGGACAGCAACTATTGCTTAAAGTTTTCTTTTAAGGCTTATGCTTCTGAACAGCTGCAATGGAGTTGGGGTGGAGTGGGGGAGCAGCCCGTCAGCACACAAGTGCTGCACACCAAATTAAAATTAAAAGAGCAGCTGAAGTGAGAGGTACATATCTTAAGTGCAAGATTTACCGATACTGCATGTCATGCTAGCTCGGTTAACTGAATTTTAGATATTTGTTCAGAAAAACAATTACCTTAAGAAGTTTAGTCTTGGACCCAGACAGCAAACAAGCAGTGAATACCAGCCTTTGAAATTGTGTGTTCTGTGTGGGACTGCCAAAGGGACAACATAAAAATATTTTGTGCAACAGACCTTACACAATAGATTCTCGATTTGTTTTTCAGGGAATGATGCAACTGGATAGGGATGCTTGAGAAAGAATTAGGCAAGAAAAGTTTACTAAAACAAATGTTTGCCCTATGAACAGTGCCTTGAGCAATGTCATATGGAGATGACAAACTCCACTGAACAGTACAGCTGCACTCCCACAGTATCAGATGTTATTTATTGGCTTTAAAAATAAAGCTGTGTTATAATCTCACTCAGAGAGGTTGTGTGTGAATATATGTATTTAAAAAAAATAACTAATTTTAGCCATGTTTTGGTAGGACCTTCCAGGTTTTTTGTAAACCTGCAATTTGTGACAGGATTAATTAAACTTCACAGTTTTTTCACCATGGAAGGACGCTATGTAATTGTCTAGTGGCATTTACAGTTTCTCACCTGTTTGTCTAATTTTGCTTTTCTGTTTAGTGACACAGATATCCTGTTGTTTGGATTGAAAAATTAAATAGTACACCCTCTTTAGCTTATGTTACTAATGGCATAACAAAATTAACAACAGGATATTCAGCCAGTTCTAATTTCTAGCCCTGCAGAAGACATATACTGCCAACAGGCCCTTTCTTACTATAGTCCTTACTCTGCGAATTCTTAAAGTGCTTTAGAAGCTGTCAGAAAACTTAAGGAAAAAAAAAAAGGAAATTTGAAACAAATCATTAAAAGGTGTAAAAATAAATAAATCAATCTTTATTACTACAAATTTACAACTTAATACACCAGGACAATGAAGAAAAACAATTGTTCCTTGTGTTTTTTCACATTACATTCAAGTATATTGGAAGTCATATTAGGATAAGGTAGTTACTGCGGAGTGAAACATGCTACTTTGCTTAGTAAATGTGACACCAATGTAATTTTTAATGTCTGGATATTACACAGCAGATTATTTTGGTGCATAGTGTCTGCCAAATTAATTAACTCTTCAATAGGATTAAGTATAATCTTTGGTATTTTCATATACTTTGAGGCAGTTTTGGGTACTTTTTAAAGTTTTAAGGTAATAGTTCTTTTTATTTAGAGACATAAAAGTGAGTAGTAACAAATCATGCTTTTAAGAAACGGCAAGTCATTCATTACCACTTACTAGCAAATAATCATTATTAAACCTGTAATTAATACGGGACTTTTTTTTCCTCAAAAGCAACGCACTTTCTCAACTTCATTTAACAGAATGTTGGCAGGTCTTGAAAAAGCTGGGCTAATAGTTTCCCCTGTTCTTTAAAGGATGCTACAGCAAACCCAAGAGCATATATGTATGTCGCTCCCCCTCCCCGATTGAAGTCAGGTAAATCACATTGGCTATATTTTTTGATCCTTCCACAGAAGTATAATAAAAAGCGCAGAAACGTGTTTTTGCCTGTGATAGACTTTAATATGCATATTTTAAGTACGGACTGAACAGCAGACTTATGTGTGTTTCAGCTTCGTAGTTAGTATTAACTTGTCTCATTTGGTCTTCAGTGATGGCCTCCATTCTTCTTTGGAGGAAACAGTGTATATTCAATGCCAAGAGCTACGACGAAAGCTGCAAATCCCCACTTGAATCCCTTAGTGAGGACTTCTGCTAAGGTGACGGGTTTTGCAAAGCCACCCATATACCTCCAGGCTTCATTACTAGAAGAAAAGTGAAACCAAAAGAGTAAAACAAGATCAGTGGAGCCACTGTGATAAACATTAAGAAGAATATCTTTGTTTGGAAACAAAAGATGAAGGTATTTCAACTGGACTTACATTGAGATTGTAACATTTCTATCATTTAAGTAACAAGAGGTGCCACAAGTAAAGTTCATGATATTAATCTAACCTTTTATACATATAAATTGAGATACAAGTAACACCACTAAACAACATAATTCTGGTAACAGAATCACCTCCCCAAACTTAGTAATTGCTGTCTTCTGTTTTTACTCTGTTTGAAACAAAATCAGAACCCACTAGCACATACATGGGATGGAGTAACTACAAAGGCTAGCATAGTTAAATCTTAAAAGGGAAAGTTTTTCCAGCCATAGAAAACTCACCCTAGTGTGGAAGCACCTTCTATTTTACAATACAACACTTAACTGTATCAGGGTCAGAAAAGCCTACTAAAACGCATTAAAAAAAAAAAGCTGTGAAGATTGTGTTTAGCTAAAAAGCCACAGAGTATTTACAAACCTCACACTATTTTGCCTTTCTGTTTTCAACCTGCATTGTTATTGAAACATTAGTTGCTGCTGTAACTGGCTACAAGTATTTATGTGTAGCACAACCAGTGTAATCCACAGATATGGACACGTTTTATCTTTTCTAAAGATTTAGAAACCGTCGGCGCAAGGGGACCAAGATAATCCCCTTGTGTCGATCGTTTCTATGACTCCGGATGAAGGGATATTGGCATGGAAGGATGCTAGTATAGGGTACTAACTGATAAAGATAAAAGTTTCCAAATCTTTCACATAGCTTATTCTGTATTGAACATGTACATTAACATGCATTTGCTACAAAGGTGGAAAGCTGATCCCCTGTTAAAAGAAACTTAATATACCAAAGAGGGGAGCCCTAGAAAGGGTTACTTTTTCAAGACTTCTAGTGCAAGATATTAATAATGCAGTGTTCTTCCAGATTACTGGAGCAAATAACTTGATACTTTAATTTCTCCTTTGTTAAGGAAGATTGGCACGATACTCGTACTTGGCCTATGGAACTGAAATATTACTTTATGTAAAATTTGAAAAGCTCGGGAGGCATCATCTCATGCTTTAAGAGTTTGACTTTGTTCCTCATTTCAACTCCTCACATAATTGGCTCAATTGCCTTCTTTTACCAGAGAAACATTTAACTTTTTTATCTAGAAGGCACAATAAATGTTACACAAGCTCTTTTCCAGTTTGCTGTTTTGCTGCACTTCCTGAACTTGGAAGTGTATGCACTAAAAATCAGGTTAATTTATTCTAAATTTATGAACTTTGTCCATTTTTAATGGGAATAAGGCTATTTCTTGCTGAAAATAATTTTGTTGGAAGGGAAAAAAAAAAAGCTAGCACTGCTTGCAAACCACAGAAATGGAGGCAATATAAACGTGACACAGGCCTGGAAAGCTAACTGATAACCGATAATCATAAGGACTGTATCTCAAATGATTCTTATAGTCATCAAAACTATGTTTTACTCTATGCTTACAGCCTTAAACTATTTCGCAGGAAGGAAAAAAACCCTGTCAATCCCATACCCCTCTAAAGGTTGTAGCATGTAACAACTTCTTAATGGATGACCTGTTTGCTCTTACATTTTTCTTGTAGTGACTTGAAGTAAAGCCTTTTCTAGGAAAGCTCCTGGAATAGTTTGTTCATGCAGCTTTTCCCTTACAGAAGAATTGGACTACACAGCACAAGACATTTAGCGGTTTTATTCTCCAAGATTAAAGACTACTTGAGGAAAGTATTACATAATTCATGATGTGGGAGAGAAATGTTAAGCCCTGTTTTAACAGCTGTCCAAATGATCCAGAATTGGTCTAGCTAAAAAGGAGGTATTCATTGTAGAGTGGGACAACTTAAAAGGTGAAAGTCTGATCTTCCATTATGTCATTTGCTGCTTAGCAAAATGCACAGTTGAATCAAATTCCACATTGTATACTAGGATGTTTCTTCTTTTCAAATAAAGGCCTCCTGTTGTATATGAGGAATGCTATTCCTACTCAGAATGTCAATGTAAGTTCCATCAATTTCGGCAAGATCTGAGCACACAATCTCTTTGTTGAGAAGGGACAGGCTTACTCACATGTGCAAGACCTAATATTACTTACATGTTTTGGTGGATGAGGTATTGGTCATTGTGCCTGATCCGTATCATCCAAACATCACAAAGTGCAACGGTGTATTGCAAAACGTGGAGACTGATCAGGGTGATGCAAGGCATGACCCTCACACAAAAAAGTAAATACAGGCTTAACTGAAATTCTAACTAATATGTTCTAGATGCGTTTTCACTAAAGAAAAATAATCTGCAATGACAAGGTCCAGCTGATGCTACAAGATGATCTATAGAAATTATTTTTGAGGCTCTTGTACTTACCGAGCCCATGGATCCCTAAGACCCCGTTTAGCTAGCCTTTCCTGGACCTTCTCTAGGGGAGTACCCTCTATCTTCCACTGCCTGTAGTCAGGGAGTTCCACTTTCCCATGGCCATGGCCATGTTGATTTCCATGCCCCATACCTACAAGAAAAGATAGAAGTTTTTTATTTCTGAAACGGTATCAGATTATTTTCACACACTTGCAAAGAACAAGAACTTGTTTGTCCCTGCCCATGGCAGGGGAGTTGGAGCTAGATGACCTTTGAGGTCCCTTCCAACCCAAACCATTCTAGGATTCTACATTTCATCTCACCGGCAAAACAACACCCTGTACAGGAAACACAGGGAGATTACAAGAAGCATTCCAAAGCACGTAACACTGCGCATGAAGCATCTTCTGCACTGTACACAGTACACTGTAAGACAAAGAGCTAAGAGACTTTATGCTGCGTTTCGGAAGTTGGTGATTAAGCCCAATAAGGCAGACTGTGCAGATGCAAGTGTTACTGTGCTCTAAGTCACCACTACCATTACATTCACGAAGCAGCTATGTAAATTTTCTGTGCCAAAAAACGGTGTCAGAAAAACAATTGTTTCCAACGTCTATAAATGCACTTAAGTAACACCAGGGCCCACCAACTTGCAGGCTTTCCAGAGTACATGAAAAAGCTCAGAGTTCAGTTTGGAAATTTGTAATTTAGGTACAGCAGAGCTATGATCACCAAGCTCTGAAGAAAAACACGAGAAAAACAAAGACTTGGCTCCTCAGCTCCTTTTAAGTTGCCTCCAATTCAGTCAAACATTAACTGCGGTGATAAACAGGTACCGGATGGATGAATCAAAAAGGAGATGCGCCTAGTAGTCATTTCACGAGCCTGGGAAATATAAGCTTTATTTAGATACACCTTCGAGAGAACTAGGAAAATATTAAGGTTCTCATTAAAAACAGTGATCAAGGCAGATGGCAAGGTGAACATTTTCAGTGAGATCATGAAGGACTGGAAGAAGATAATGATGGCTTTTAAGTCTATTTTCACAATTCACCTCAGACTTTGAGCCAGGATTTCCCGTTTTGACACGTATCTGGTAGCAATGAACAGATTTAATGCCCTTAATTTTTAGGAGAATTGACCAGGATGCAATAGTGCCAAGAACATAGCTTTGAAGGCTATAACTCTTGAAGACCCCAAGCCGCGGAGGTAAGCAAAGAGGATTCTCTTGCAGAAGGAAACATCTAAATAAGAGCTCCAACGCCCGAAAAGCTCCCCCAAAATTAAACCCCTGCTACGCCCTTGCAATAAAAACCCAGCAGCTCTGCCCT